CCCCAAAACCCCAAAACCCCAAAACCCCAAAACCCCAAAACCCCAAAACCCCTAGCTTCAAATAAAATTTGAATATTTTATAATACATTATTTCTTAAGCTATTTTTCCTTAATGGAATCTAGAAGACTATTGAGCCCATTCAACAGAAGTCGGCGTGTAGACTTGATCCTCCAAAAAGCAGCAAAGATCCAGAATAAAGGATTACATGGACATAAAAATTTATGTAAGCTCATAATTATTTGATAATGAGTTGTAAGATGATGTCTGTGATGGTTTAGCTATTGAACAAAATGTTTGGGCAAATTTTCGAAAATTTAGAGGCAAAAATTAGTGAATTCTATTTCTCTCAGGTTCTTCACTTCATTCCTTCTGCTACGTTCTTTCCTCTAAGATGCATCTCTGATTTGTTAATATAGCCTTTCTCAAAAGCCCAAAGAAGACTTCTCGATCGATTTCCACTATGAAATCTCCTTGTAGCCAACAGACAGAAGGTACTCTCTTGTTTCTCTTTTATGTACAAAGAGTTTGGTTCTGATTTTTTTGGTAAATAAAATTGCCTCAGGATGCTTCATTAGTCCTTGTGAGCTATCCAATTTTATGGAAATACAGTTTTTTCATAATATTAGCAAATTTTCATGGACCCACTATATTTGTAGAGTTGGAGATAAAGAGAATTTGGCAAATTATAGTCAGTTAAACCTCTGAATCTTTACATAAGCTAGATAAGCGCACTGATTCATCAGTCTCTATAGCACAATTATCATTAATTCATTTAAATTCTTACTCAGTCTTACATAATTACAGAAGAATTATCCAATCATGTAAAGAAGCCGAGTCTGCCTTGGAAAGAGCCAAAAGCCCATGCCCGTACTAGGCTTCAAGGATTTAGACGAAGTAAGTATCAGCAAGAGCTTCATAAGCCTAGCTAGAATATTGAGAGTCACTGCTGAATTATAATTTAGGTAATACAATCATGAAGAAGAACAGCAAAATCAACCTGAACAGATATATAAAAAGTAGTTCATCTAAATCAAGAGAAAATTTGAATAGAAGTGAGAGGCTCGATAAGCATACCTTCACTAGGATCAACTTCTCAAGACAACGGTATAAGCAATGAGAGTCATAAATAGGTTGACTAATAGTTTCTCTAAGAAGAAAATCACTGTTGCTGAATTGAATAATTACTTAAATCTGAATAACACTGAAGGTAAATTCTTAGACAAACACAATAGATTCACGTAATGGCTGATTCTCAGAAGGTAAGGAGAAACTTATTTCCAAGCTCTGTCACTAATAAGCCAAATAGATCGAAGCCCAAGAAGAATAGCCCTGAAAAATGAGAGAATAGTATTGCTTTCCCAGAAAAGAGTACGTGCTTTTAATGAGCAATAGAGGAGTAAAAGAATAACCCAGAGCCATCATAACTTGACGTAAACAGAAGTTTTAATTCATAGGAAAATATTTAATAAGAAGCAGAAATTTAGGAAAGTAAGCATACTGATTTGATATGAATTATTTCTGGTTTTTCATGTTTTAAAGGTTGTTGAACAACATACTTTATATTTATAACAAATCTAGAAGAGAAAAATTACAGGAATACATGATATCAACATACATTTAGAGCTGAAATTTAACCCAATGGTTTTGTTAAACAATGGATACAAGCATTATCGTTATATTCCATTTTCAAAAAAATAACTACTCCTTTTTCTAACTCACTAAATCTAAAAAACTCTTTTCTTCTTCCCTAGGGGCTAAAATTCAATTCCAACATCATTCCCAACCTCAAAACAACCCTCAGCCCCTTCCTAAACGCACTTTTCTTAATTTCCCATTTACTATTCCAAAATCTTTATTCAATCTTCTAAAATCCAAGCGGGGTTTTGGGGTTTTGGGGTTTTGGGG